AAAAAAAAAAAAAAAAAAAAAAAAACCAAACAAAAAAAAAAAACCAACAAACCAGCCACTAAGTGGGACCTTCTCTGTAAGAGGGAATGGCCCTTCAGGGCAGTCAATTCCCTTTGGGACCTGGGAGGAGATGACAGGCAGGTTTCCAAGGAACATGACTCAAAGCTGCTCGGCGCATGAACATGGTCCTGGAGTAGTCGTGTGCATATCCTGACAGTAGCTGTCTCTCACACCCCAATTACGTATTTACACTGCTGCTGTTTGATGCTCTCAGTAATTGCAACAAGAAGCGGACCTCCAGCCAGGCAGCTGAGCAGTGCAGCAGGATCCTCGTGTGCATCTTTGCTAAGGTAAGCTCAGCTTCTTTATGGTGAGGGTGGTGGGATTTGTCTTTGTGTGCATAAAGGTCACAAGAAGCCTAGGTGAATTTGATATGTAGTGAACCTACAGCATAGTCATCAGTTATTATAATGCCTGAGACTCTTCTACAGGATGAGAATAAAATCCTACACTTAGAATAGTTGTTACCCCATACGTAAGCTTACAGTTCTTAGTTCCCCCAACACTGCTTAGGGAAGGGCTCTTATGCTTAAAAAAAAAAAACCCAAACAAACAACATACTTTGAGAGCTATTAGTAGTGCTACAAATACTGTGGTCCTTACTGCTCTGAAGGACAAGCAATCCACATATTTGCAAGCTCTTGTGTGATCCTTTAATGGAACTCTGGGAAGGCATTACTGGAATCAAGACTTAATAGGGAACTACTGTGCACTAATTATCTGCCTGTTTTGGCTCTGTTAATGGACTGTACTGCTTGAGCATACCATTCTCTGCTGATGGGCTTGTTTCCTCCAGTAAGATCTGAGATTGTGTGCAGAACAACAAGCTTTTCATACTGTTTCTTTCCTCATCTCTATCCTTCGTTCCAGGTGAAAATTCTGAAAAGAGAGGTGAGAAGCATTTAAAATGCCTGAACAGTCTGTAAACAAATACAGCACTCACAGTAGCACTTATATTTCTTAGAATTTGAGCAGTTCTGGGATTAAGTATTAAACAAATTGAGGTTGTTCTAGTCACTGAGTTACTGTGTGTTGCCCCTGGGCCTTTGAGAAATAACAACCTGTCTGGTTGTCACAGTAACCTTCCCTTGAAATTACTCAACTGGATTGTGCTTGAACCTGTTTGTCATAAACAGCTTGATTCCTAAAGGTGAGAAGGGAAGCTGCAGAAGAATCTCAGTTTCTCAAAAATATGAGAATCTGGTCTTTAACAATGATAGTAAGGATTCTTCTTTCTACAGTGGGACCTTAAAGTTTCACTGTTGTTCAGCATGTTCAGATCCTTTTTCTTAGTGCAATGGCTACACCTTCAGCTAACGCTTCAGTATAGCTACCCAAGAGAACTGCTGCACTACAGCTCCTGTATTAGAAGGTAGGACACCTTCCTATATTGCTTTCTTTGCAACGACGTTGTTGTTTCTCCACTTCCTAGAGGAAGAGAAACCATAAGTAGTGGTACAGACACATGTCCATCCTACACAGCTGATTTGCCAGCCATAGTCCTCCCCCCTCCCCCCCCCGCAAAAAAACCCCACACCTCCCACGTAACTTTAGTAGGAATCAAGGATAATACAGGAAAAGTGGATACCAGGAGATTTAAAAGGGAAGCTTTAAACTGTTTGTTTTTTGGGGTTTTTTTTTTTGCTTTTTTTCTGCTGTACCTTTGAGCATTATCTGCAATTATCTGCCACCTAGGGGACCATTCATTATAAAAACTGACGGCTGGCTGCTGTATGCCAAGCAACAGATGAATGTATCTTCATGTGTTCACAGCTCTACTTCTTTCATGAAGAGCAGAACCACTGAAACTATTTCAGATTCGATAATCTGATTGCCCTAACCTGCATCAGCTGGCGATTTGTTCTTATACGTGTGATAAACAGCTGTAAGATTTAAGGTCTTGCATGAAGCATCCTTTCTGGAAGAAATGATGGTAGATGCTACAGCCTCAGTGGGGTACAGTTTAAACCACGTGACTCATCTGTGTTGAGAGGTTTTATCAAAAAATGGTTTCTTTCATTTAAATGCAGTAATGGTGACCTGTGGGAAAGCATCCTCTCCTGTCAACAGTTAAAGTTGATGGTGTCAGGGAGGAGAGCTGTCTCTTTCATCTGCTTTGTTTGATGTCTGGCATTTTTAGGTGTTAGCAGAACATCTTGGCTAATGCAAGCTACAAGAGAACAACTGTCTGCAGGTGGAGGTGTAGATGATAAAGCTAAATAAGGCTGTCAACTTTAAATAAAAATGGGATGAGTTTTAGGATTTAGTAACCTGAGATGGCAACTCTTTCTTTCCCTGTTCTAGGACCTCAGTCTTAGACCTCAGATCTCAGATCCTGAGATATTGTGCAAACAATGTTCTGGAAGGATAGTCCAGTATATGGGTTAGGTGTGATACCTTCTGTCACAAATATCACATATCTAGTATCCAAAAGCTTGAAACATTCAAGTATGTGCTGAGAATGTCACCCTACATCTGCTTTTCAACAGATGTTTTTCAATCTGTCAGTTTGGAGTAATAATTTTCCTTCACTCAACATACGAGATGGCCTTCTACACCAGAATAGGATTGCATTTAATACAGGGTAGTCCCAGGATAATCTAAGAATGAAATCCATGGGACCTGTCCTGTTGACAAAAGCTTCTTTCCACAAAGTATGAGATGAAGATTCTTGATTTACAACCTGAAGAAAGAGGGGCATCTAGAATTTTCTCTCCAGCTAATTCTCCTCACAAGTGGAGGCAAAAATCCCTGATTTTGAAGAAATAGTTTGCTTCTGGATGGTAGCCTCCATGCTACAGTAGTATGGTGCCAGTGGATCATTCAAGGCATCTGTGCAAGTGCCCCATACCTGGACAAACCACAAGCAGGCTGTTTCTTAGTGACATGGATGTTGCAGTGCACTGCTGCAAAATGTAGTGGTGGTGCCTAGAGAAACAGGTTTTCTTAACTCAAAAAACAAGGCCAGAACATTTAGTATACTATTCTATGCAGAAGGGAAGAGTTCTCCTCCATCCTGCTTCTTTTGCTGCTCTGTAAGCCGAATAACAAGTTTGTATCAGGATGAACCCTGATGCTAGCTTAAAGTATGATTAGTTTCATAGTTATTGCATTGAGATCTTTTTACAAAATTACCTTATTATATTCGTTTAAGGTTCTTCTAGTTCTGCTTCACAGGGAGGTGGTGTCTCAGTTACTGGATTATTTTTCTATGTAATAGGGCCTGGAAACCTTATTTGCTAAAGGGATGAGGAAATGGAAATTCTCCCTGAAGAGATCATGTGTACCAAGTACAAGGAGTAGTCACTCCCTTTCTGCCAAAGGATGTTACTTTTCCATTCCACATGGAAGTGTAACTACCCTGTACTTTCAGTGACTGATCAGACACTGCAGCCTGGCTAGGAGCTACAAGTAGTGCTTGGCACACGGGAGGCACTGTTTTCTAATTCCTCAATATTCCTGTGCATTTTTTCCACATTTGTCATCTTCATTAAACAAATCTCATGACTGTGTTAGGGGCTCAAGGCAACTTACATGAGGCTTTTTCCCAACTTGCACTGTGTAAAAAATAAACCTTTGTAGTATTTGTAGCGATTTTGCATGTGACTGGATCAAAAAGTCAAATTTTTCTCCTACCAATCTCAAATTGTCATACTAAGCATCTGCCTTCTGATATTCCACCAGAAACATGTTCTGTTCTTTATTTGTTAAAGTAAAGTGCATGCTACTGCATGTCAGTGCTTCCATTTTAGATGGCTGTTATCCTTAGCTTGCCTACATCAGAAATCAAAATGGAAGCATTTGGTCATGCAGTGAAATGCCTGAGGCTGTGGAGTGTTTTGGAAAAAGACATTTCTTAGACTTTACTGGACACTTACTCATCTGCAGCTCTTTGAGCATTTGTTTTAATGCATGCTGAAGGCCAGGTTTTGAGAGGAGTCCAATCCCTCACTTCTTACCAGCAAAGGAAATAGTGCAGGTGATAAACTCATCTTTCTGCCTGAGCGGTTTATAACAACCAATCTGTTTCTCTGCTTGTAGCTTCAATCTCCAGTTTCAAGTATTTTATTTACAACTGCCAGAAAGAAAAATCACTTATTTTTAGAGTATTATAAACCAGTTATCTACTTACGGTAAGAAAGTAATTTAAGATTAGATCCTCCCATCCTTCCCACTCAAAGCCACTTTTCTTTAACGGGTGGAGTTTTTCTCTTGAGAAAACATCAAGTTGGCTTTGTTAAATTCCTGTTTATTCATGTTTGATTCTTCTGAGATACGGGTCCCAGTTAATGATATATCATCTTTTATAATCTTTATTTTAATCACTTGGCTTCTCATCTGATAATTTCAAGGCATTTTTTTTCTTGTCAAGAGTGTATTTATCATTGCATACAGAAATGTTAGTAACTCAGCTTAAGAAGAAGGTGAAAGCACTTGCTCAAGGAGATGGAATGGCTACCCTGGCAGAGGCTGTATAGTTTGTTCAGTAAACAGCTTTCTGTTGTTTTGCAGTGAAAAATGTTTCAGCATATTTCTATGGATGTGACAAATACACTGCCTGCCTCCGCAGTGAATAATTAAACAGGGTTTTCATGCAGAATTCAAAAGGCCTCCCAAAAAGAAAAGCTTTACATGCATTAAATGAAATTCAAGGATGACTTAGTCTGCTACTGTGCATCCAGCATAATCCTGATTTTATTGTTAATAAATTAGTAGAATGACTAGTATTTGAAAACTTCAGCTCTGTGTTAGAGGACAGGGAGAAAGCCATAGAGTGAGTTTGGATTAAATGCTTCCAGGACTTTTAGGGAGCTGCTGCTCCTCACAGAAGTGGGTAGCTCCATGGATGGGGCTCATTCATTATCCTTCAGCTGCTGAAAAGCATAGTCCTACCCCACTGCCTTCTTTTAGAGGTTTTAATTCCCTCTGGAGCATGTCTGACTCCTCTATGAATTGGTTTCCTAAACCACCTAGATAAGGTAAATGATGTGGGAAGAAGCTTTTCCTTGGATTAAGGAACATGTCAAAATGAGAACTGGTACAGAGAAGGCAAAAAACAGCATCTGTAGGGGAGAGCAGAGCAAGTGCTTAGTTGGCTGGAACTACCTGGAGCAACAGCACCCTGCTCTCTCCTGCAGAGAATCGGGGTGATTTTAAGCAATATATATTACATCCCACCACAAACTATGGCATCTCTTAGAAATTTCTCAGGATAAAGCTTAGAGTTAGCTAAGTGTCGGTTTGAATTACAAGTAATGATCGGGTTGCAAGATAGAGCAAGGAGGCTGAGGAACAAAAGAAACAGTGACTAGCTGATCAAAGCCTCTGTCTGTTCCTTGTTCCCACTGACAAGTGGGAAATAGGCTGCCCTGGAAAACATGATAGCAGCACTTCATTTATATCGGTGCTGGAATCAGTTGTATATTGACTTGAAGGCCTTAGTTGATAGAGATAGCAAACAGATTTCATCTTCTGAGTGATCTTAAAAGGTGGATGCAGGCTGGCTTGGGGCAGGAGCCATCTGGCAGCTACCCCATCACATCTGGTGTGCCAAGCGGAAATAATGAGAGGCTGCATTGTTTTGCCTCTTTCCTTCTCAGTAAATCTGTGCCTGGTGATGATAAACACATTTTCCCCCTTCTGCAGTCATTTAGTGATATCATAATGTTTGTATTTGTTAACTTTTGGAAGCCAGATGAGCAGAGACTGTCGTGTCCTTTAGGACTATGTAAACAAATTCCTGACTCAGAGGTTACAGGCAAGTTCCCAAGAGAAGCCACGGTATGGAAGAAACATTAGGTTCTTGAGGAAAACTGTGCTTATTTAAAGAAGAGAACTGTTGTTTCAGAACTGACAGTGCCCCATATTGTTCTGTGATGTTGTCTTGCATGCTCATCCTCTCTCTTCTTTTGTTCTTGGCCGAACACAAAAATTTCAGTCTAAGAAAAAAGCACAAGTACAGAAGGCTCTACAATGAGATTGCTTTTGCTCATTCATAAAACTGTGCTCAGCACTGTGTAACTGCTTTTAGTGCCTGCAGTGGGTTGTAAGTCTGAGATAAAAATAGATTTTTGTTATCATTTTACTACTAGAATTAAAATTGCTCCACAAATATTCCATCCTCTTTCTGGGGGAAATATTCTTAACGCATCGCTAGTGATTAAGTGTTGGATAGGTGATCTCAGAGTTTTCATCATAGAATTCAGACAAAAAGCTAATGGACAGAGCAAAATCCATTGATTTCAATGGGAAGACTGAACAAAATCGTTTTGTCTAAGCAACGTGCTGTCACCCCTTGTAAATGAGAATAAAGCCATAGGCAGACGCTCAATCTATTATTGCGTATGCTTCAGCAGCTCTCATATTTGTGTGTTTGCAATCCTCCATCCTACAATAGGAAATTACAGATACGTTAAAATGCGCTAAGGTTTCCGTCGCCTCCCGTCGCCTCCCTTGCGCAGCTCATTTCCAAGGCTCTGCGGTTGCCTTGGAAACAGGGGAAGGTAGAGTTTTGTTCAGCTGGCTGCTGAGCTGCAAGCAGTGGTTGGGCTGCAGAGAGGCACATGGGCGTTCCTACGCACAGGCACTGCAAATCTATGAATGGGGGCATTTGGATTTTTGTTCGCGATATTAAATACCTCAAATTTGAGAACAAAAACCTGTTAAAAATGCTATAGTGAACCATTCTATTCATTTAAATGCCACTGATGGCTAAGGGTTTTTTTGTAGTGTTTATTTGTAGGACTTTGCATTGATATTTAAGCAATTAATGTTTAATTTTCTTTGCTGGGTGTTCGTGAGTGCTCAGCGTTACTGTAGATAAGGGAACTTTTTAGAAACATAAACGTGAGCCTCACAGTAGGTGGATACTTTTTTTAAATGTGGAGTTACACTCCTAAAAACCAGTGAGGTTTTAACAAAGAAATGGGTGTTACAGCTTCTGTGAATTTGAAGTTCAAAATCCTTAAGAGTATAATAATAAAGCTCTAAGGAAGCCACTTGTATGTATGTGGGAGGAAGGCATGTCAGGGATTGTCCAGGTACCTTCAGATGGGGAGTAAGAATGCTTAAAGCTGCTGCTTTGTAGATTTCCAAGAATAACTTGGCAGCCAAAAAGCTCTTAAATGCTTGTGTATATCCCATAGAGATGCCAAGAGGGACAGCTGTTTTGCAGCTCTGCAAATAGTGAGAAGATGCAACAGCCTGGGGCTGCCTAAAAAATGCAGGCTACACCCACAGCATGTAGAAATGTACATGCACAAATTGCACTAGCAGTAACAAAGATTGCCTGTGATTAAGTACTGAAAAATATGTCAGTGGAAAATACAATAGCAGGATACAATGAACACAGAATCCAATTAAAAAAAAATATCTCAGTGCTGGTATAATCTTGGATATTTTGTGGTTGCAAAAGCAATAGCATGTAATTCCATGTGCTACCGAGCTTGAGCCAGTTCATGATATTTCACTGTAGCTGAGGTTTCTGCCCTATGGAAGGAAAAGAGACAGTTTGTTTGCTTATCCATACACTGAAGAAAACTGAGGACTGCATTTGAAAAATCTCCACCTTATTTTCCAAAGGTCACAGCAGCCAAATGCAAAACAAAGAAAGTGTTGGTGAATAGATCACCTATTAGCTCACATCTGCAAAATTCTGCTCGTTTTGCTATAATTTTAATTTAACATTATAGCACAGTGTGGTGCTAGGACCAATAAACCATCAATCTGATATTACTTGTCTCACTCGTTGGTCCACTCCTCTCCCTTTCACAGCATCAATGAATAGTTGAAGTGGGGAGGTATCCCGTGAGATCATCCAGTTCAATGCAGGGTTGGCTACAGAAGACTGACCAGGGCGGATTAGTACCCAAAGTTCTGGATATCTCCAAGGATACCATCCAGCAAGTAGCAGTGTCTGACATCAGAAGTTTTTCCTGTGTTTACATTTAGTTTCTGATATTCCAGGTTGTGCGCATTGCCTCTCCTCCTGTCACTGGGTGCTGCTGACAAGAGCCAGGCTCTATCTTCTTTGTGGCTTCCTTTCAAGTATTTATGAGATTTTTGGTAGAGTTGGTTTTATCATGGCTGTCCTCCAATTTCTGCTTGTTTTAAGAGTCAGAACCACAGAACGATGATTCTTGTGCTTCAGAGGTGTCAAAACGTAGCTCAGCAGGCCTGAGCTAGAAATACAGGCTGGAAGGCGCTGCTAAAAAGCAGCAGCGCACGCTCTGCTGTTGCAGGGACAAGCAAGGGCACGAACCCAGCAGGTGCAGAAGCAGCTCGGCGTAAATCCTTTGCAACTCCTGAGTTCCAGCTGTCCCCGGCCTTGCCCCGTCCCGCGGACGCTGCCCGGCGCCGAGGGGCGGCTCCGTCGTCCGCCCTGGGCTGTCGGACCCGCGGCGGGAGACAATGCCGCCCCGCTCCCGCGCGCCCATTGGCTGCTCGCCGCCGCCGCGTGACGTCACCGAGAGGCGGGGCGCAGCGCCCAATTTAAGGCGCGGACGGGGCGCGGCCGCCGCAGCGCGGAGTGCGGGAGGTGACGGAGGGCGTGTGGCGCGGTAGTGGCATCATGCGTGAGATCGTGCACATCCAGGCCGGGCAGTGCGGCAACCAGATCGGCGCCAAGGTACGGGCCACCTCTCGGCTGCCCGCCGAGGGTCGTGCGACCGGCACCGGGGTGCGGTGCGTAGCTCCGTCGGGGTTATCCGCGACCGCAGCGGGGCTGCCCGGGCTCTAGTCCGCGGTCGTACGCAGCCGGCTGGCAGCCACGCGTACGGCTCTGAGGCAGAGGGGCGCGGCGTCACGGCCAGCCCCTGGTGCGTGCTGGGGCTGCTGTCGTCTTGCGGTGACGCTGCCGTGTCGGTAGAACAGCATGGCTGTTATAGGCGGCCTTAAGCCATGGCTAGACAATAGAAGAGTCTCAAAACCGTGGGTATGCGAGTGCTGTCAGCCCGTGGATGCGTGCTGAAAATGAATTAGCTCGAATTCCAGTGCTGCAGCTGCCCGTCTATCCTCCTCAGCGCTGCTTCTGTTAATTCAGCTGCCGCAGCCAAAGGAAACTCTTCAGCACTGACTCATGGAGGTGCAGCTTCCTCCCAGGCAGCTGCTCAACCATGCTAGGGAGTGGTCGGGGAGGCTGTGCGCACAGACTGCTAGCGTGTGATTGGCACCGGCCAGCTGTAGTGAACAGCTGCCTTTCACGAACATTTCTTCCAGTTCTGGGAGGTGATCAGCGATGAGCATGGGATTGACCCGACTGGCAGCTACCATGGGGACAGCGACCTGCAGCTGGAGAGAATCAACGTGTACTACAATGAAGCTGCTGGTGAGTTGGTCTGCATCCTCTGACATCCTTAAATTAACAAAGCAGAAATGCCAGGTCAAAGCTTGAAAAATACCTGAGTAAGAGCTGCCATCTACAGAGCTTTGTTCTCAGAATGGCTCTGATAGCACTGGTCTAGACAGTGCAACTCTCCAATGAAGTATAGAGAACCTCCGGTGAGCACAGCAGTGCTGCTGTGGCTGCAGGGCCATAACGCTGCG